TGTTCTCCGTGAGATTTGTTTAACATTTGATAAATTATTCATCCATTTAATTGTCTCTTGTTTTTTTGTTTTCTTTTCTTCACACAAAACAAGGCAATTTATCGACGCAAATCAAAATACATACGTATTACCAAAGGTATGCAGGACACAATCTTACTTGCAATGAGACATTTTGCTTCAATTCTTCAGATTATACGTTGTTTTCATTCTAGTTATGGTTTCTCCAGTTGCAACAGATGAACAGAACCAATGTAGAAAAAGAACAAAATTCATATCACTAGAGGTAACTTCTAACTCATTTTGTTCTCCGTGAGATTTGCTTACCTTTGATAAATTACTCATCATTTTAATCGTCTCTTGTTTTTTTCTTTTCTTTTCTTCACACAAAATAAGATAATTTATCGACGTAAATAAAAATACATACGTATTACCAGAGGTATGCAGGACACAATCTTACTCTCAATGAGACATTTTTCTTCAATTCTTCCGATGATACATTATTTTCATGTGGTTTATTGCTTCTAATCTTCGAAAAAATAAACTGAATCTCTGGACAAAATGAAGAATATTTATATCGATGGAGATAACCATTATGTTACCTTGTTGCCTGTGAGGTTTTTCCTTACCTTGGACAGATTACTAATTCTTTTAATCGTCTTTTGTTTGTTTTCTTTTCGATTTATCAAACAGAAAAAGATAATCTATCGACGCAAATCAAAATACATACGTATCAGAGGTCCAACCAGGCCAGTAGGACTGCCTGTCTGGCTGTCACAGGCACAGGCCACGTTGTTGATGCTAGGCTGAACCCTCATCCAGGCCAGGTAGGCCGCTAAAAAAACAGGCTGCCTAGCCTGTCTATATCCTTTACATATATAATTGTCTTTTCGATAAAATGTTTTTTTAACAAATTGAAGATGGTGCTAACAATCAGGTGTAGTGTAGAATAATGTTGTCTTCATTGTAATTGATCAAAATGATGACTAATCTTCAGCTTGATTTGCATAGTTCATCTTGTTTATCTATTCGTTCTTTATCTTCTCATTTGTCTTCTTTATTATTACTGATTATTGTTAAAATCTTTCTCATTTATTATTGTTTAGATATTTATTATTAATTGTTGGTGAAAGTCGTATTATCGATTATTATCAAGATCTTATTGATTATTGGTAAAAATTTTATTATTGATTATTATTTAGATCTTCCTTAATGATTATTATGTAGATATTTATTATTGATTGTTGGTGACAGTTGTATTATCGATTATTATCCAGATCTTTTTTATTAATTGTTACAATCTTTGTTTTTTTCGTTAAACTCAAGTGTTAATATTTCAGTTGTCGATTTGATGAAATGGCTGATATTGATATTTCATCTTCCATCGGTATTGATGATTCTCCACCGGGCCGCCGTAATAATGCCGAATGAAAAAATATTGAAGAGGAAAAATGTCGAAAGAAAAAGAACGAAAATGTTGAAAGGAGAAATGTCGAGAGAAAAATGTCGAAAGAAAAAATGTCGACAGGAAAAATATCGAAGGGAAAAATATAGAAAGAAACAGAACGAAAATGTGAAACGGCGAATATTGAAAGAAAAAAAATGAATAGAAAAATATTCAACAGGAAAAATTTGAATCAATAGAATATCTTTTATTCTTAATATAATAATAACATCATTTATTGATAATAGATATAGAAAAGAATAAAAAAGTGTTTTTTTATTTTTTCTTCTTAGCAACTACAGGGCTGCCAAAAATGTTTTTCCAGGGGGGTACAGCCCTAACGAATAGTGATATGAACAATAAATTTTATACCAAATGAAAGCCCGTCAAAAATGGGGTTTAGGAGTATATTTTGATTTTCCATAAGAGGGTGACGACTTGTAGAACTGTGGAACTTCAGAAAATTTGAAGAATCTGCAACTAATAAAATGCTATTCCAAAGGTAAAATTCTGAGTAAAAACAGTTAAAGAATGATGGATATATCAAACCAATGTTTATTTTTTATAAAGTTCGTACAAATAATCAATAATCTGTATGCTGACCGTGAGCTTTTTTGATAGCCTGTAATCGAGATGGATAGGATCATAACAGGTTTTCAAAAAGTTCAGTATTTGTTTCCATACTTTCTAAGACATCGCATATGTGATTTTTCAATGTTTCTTCACGATGGCGATCATGTTCGGTCTCAGATAACATTCTTGTCTCGACTTCATCCTTCAGTATTGATCCAATGTGTTCAGTTGCATTGAGATCAGGTGAATTTCCGGGTCATATATTGTTACCCCAAAAATTGATATCGTTGTCTTGGATCAATTGCTGGGTCATATTTGCTTTCATGCATGGGGCTTTGTCATGAACAAATGTTATTTCATCCACGTCAATGACGTTTTCGTCATTTTTGAGGAAAGGAAAGACGTTTCGGACCAAAATTGTTTCACGAAAGTATTGACTTGTCCAGGATTCTCCTTTATCTTTGATTACCCAATGCAATTTCTTCGCGGTAAAAATAATGAAAATATCGATGCATGCTTGATTTTGTACCATTTCGCGATATCTTTCGTCCTCTTCAATATCTTCGATAGATTTAGCCTAAATCCTGTCATTTTGATGATTTGGCTTGCGAATGCTCCAAACAAAAAATTCATCAGCTGGTGCAAGGTGTAAGAAGTCCTACTGAGTCCAGTTCGTCAACCAGTCGCATAGCAGTAGACGATCGGAGATATGAGTTTCTGTTTTCAATGGTTTTTGAATAACGTGGAAAGGCTTCAGTCCCATCCTATGTCGATAGTTATCGATTGTGCTTCGCGTAATATACTCTTTTTGTCTCTCTGCAATTTCTCTTGCCACAACGGAAGAACTTTTTTTTGCTTGCCACTCGCATTGACAATGATGTTCTGACTATCCTGCGATAATTTGAGGTTGTGATCACATTCAGAATAATCAACAAAGCATTCATTGTATGCTTTCTCCCACCATTGAGTAACAAACCGGATCGAACGATGAATTTTGTCGACGATCCATTGTCGAGTGATAAATGCTGCATCAGCGTCACGAGCTTCAAGGAAAGCAACGCACTTTATTCGATCGACGATTCTCTGTTGTTCATCGTCTTAAGTCCCAATCATCGTACAGATTAAATGTATTCAATGAGCCTCAGCTAAATCACAAATTTACCATGGTCATCATTAAAAGGTACAAATGAAAGACACGGTATTTACTTACATTCCAAGCACAATCACTTCGTTCAAAGAGAGATCAATCGAAAAACAGACTGATCTATCTATCTTGAAGAAAAGATAAATACAATCTGCTTGTACACCACGTTTGCTTTTCAGCAATCGATTATTTTGTCGAGATTTTGTAAAATAAAAATAAAAATTTTTTTATTATTTGTGACTTGTGCCAAAAGACTTAATTTTAGGAAATGCAGATTTTAATTTGCCAACGCGTTTCATGTTATTTATTGAAACATTCAAACACTCATCAGGGCTCTGCATTCGATGTTCAGGCACATGATACATCAACAAGAATATAATAATGATAACATACGTACAAAAAACAATTATCCGATCAAAATAAAAGATAAGAAGAAGAGAAGGAGAAGAAAAAGAAAAAAGAAAAAGATAGCGAGGGACAGACAAGAAAAAGGAAAAAAAACAAAAAAATAAAAAGACAATGCAATTGTTTGCTACAAAATCAGAGAAGAGAAATAATTAAACAACAATAAAAATTTAAACAACAGAAAGTTGTTTTAAGAAACGATTTTTACTGGAATAATGCATCATGAAACAATGTAACCTTTAATCTTCATTATTATCATTGCCCGATGATATTCGGTTGTGCTCACCATCAGTGACCATTTTAATTTGCACTTGTATCAAATCTTTTCGATGTAAATTTATGAAAGAATATCTCAGGAGATAATAATGACTCTAGAACAATTCAAGTAATCGATTGCAACAGATAGAATTATTCATGATAAGTTGCACATTTTAACTTATATATTAATTTTAATAAAATGAAGAACTATATTGCTAAATTCATCTATATTTAGGAATTTTGTTAACATTCTAATAAAATTCAAACATAAGTATTTGTATTTGTAAATTAAAACAAATATACATCTTCGTTAAAGTTTGCACGATATAACTTTTACATCAATATTTATAAAATATGTATTAATTAAATAAATCAATTTGACACAATGTGATAATCTTCATTATAATTTATATATTTTTTTAAAAATTATTCTATCAATATTCATAGGAATATTTTTGCAACTACTAATAAAATAGACAGTGATTTCATTCATATAACGTAATAAATATAATCTTTCATTAAAAGTTGTATATTTAAACTTTATCTCAATATTTCTTAGCTCACTTACACTAATATATTATATAAAAATTTCCGTAAAATATAAGATTATAATTATAAATCCTTTTATATTCCCTAGACTGAAAGGCTAGAATCTACACTGGAAAAAAAATGGTACGATAACGAACCAAAAAAAGTATTTTGAACGAAAAAAAAGGTTTCGTACATAGTACGGAACCTAAAAAGGTTTCGAATTCGTTGCAATTCTCTGAACCATTTTAGGTTCGGTACAGATCACTTCGAAAAACTTGAAAAAGTGTCCTGAGTCAATGACAATCAATTTTAGTCACCCAAAGTTTTGTACGAAACCTTTTGAGGGTTTCGTATTGTCTTCCTAAATGGTTCCGTAATCATACAAATTTTTTTTGCAGCGTACCGAACCATTTAGGAAAACAATACGAAACCCTCAAAAGGTTTCGTACAAAACTTTCGGTGACTAAA